TTTGTTTAGTATTGGAATTGCATTAAATTATGGTATTGATTCATTCATTGCTTCGGCAAATGGAAAAAACTGCATATCTTTTATGTATACAGATTCCACTTGGAGTGATTCTAGCCATTCCACCATTCAATTATCCAGTCAATCTTGCTGTTTCCAAAATTGCACCAGCATTGATTGCTGGAAATTCCCTTGTTCTCAAGCCACCAACACAGGTTTTTTTTTTTTCTTCCTCTTTGCATACATAATTGGATAAGATTGGGTCTTAAAATGAGTTCTAGAAACAAAAATCTAAAATCTGTCATGTAATCTTCTTACAGGGTGCTGTCTCTGCTCTTCACATGGTACACTGCTTTCATTTGGCCGGTTTTCCCAAAGGGCTCATTAGCTGTGTGACGGGGAAAGGCTCTGAAATCGGCGACTTCCTCACCATGCATCCTGGGTGAACTGTATAAGGTAGTTCCAGGTCATATTGGACGCACTAATTAGCTATAGTTTTACTATATGGCTAGCATCCATGTATAATTTGGATTCTCTCTTTCATTATAGTTTCACTGGCGGAGACACCGGCATCGCGATCTCGAAGAAGGCGGGAATGATCCCTCTTCAGATGGAACTGGGAGGAAAAGATGCATGTATCGTGCTCGAGGACGCGGATTTGGATTTGGTTGCTGCTAACATAATAAAAGGAGGATTCTCTTACAGGTAGCAACATTAGCTGTTTTCACTTGTACTGGGCATTAACATGGCATCAGGTGTAAAATCTTTTGCTTGTACAACTACCACAGTGGGCAAAGATGCACGGCTGTTAAGGTCGTCTTGGTGATGGAATCGGTTGCTGATTTTCTGGTGGAGAAGGTTAAGGAAAAGGTGGCGAAATTAACGGTGGGAGCACCGGAGGACGACTGCGACATCACTCCAGTGGTGTCGGAGTCGTCGGCGAATTTCATCGAAGGACTGGTGAAGGATGCCAAAGAGAAAGGAGCTACATTTTGTCAGGAGTACAAGAGGGATGGAAATCTCATATGGCCTTTGTTGTTAGACAATGTTCGACCCGATATGAGGATTGCATGGGAAGAACCATTCGGACCGGTTTTACCGGTTATAAGGATCAACTCCATCGAGGAAGGTATCCACCACTGCAATGCTAGCAACTTCGGACTCCAGGTATTTTACATGCAAAAAGAACCATCTCTGTTTCTTCCATTACAGTAGCTTAAACAATGCATACAACAATGCAGGGATGTGTGTTCACCAAGGATGTGAATAAAGCAATACTGATAAGTGATGCAATGGAGACGGGGACGGTTCAGATCAATTCTGCACCAGCTCGTGGACCAGATCATTTCCCATTTCAGGTAAGCAAAACTTACGACAACAAAAATCCCAGATTTGGATTACTTTGATCAGCATTGTAAAATTTTGAGCAAAATGGTTTGCTGACAGGGTTTGAGAGACAGTGGAATCGGGTCACAGGGGGTTACCAACAGCATTAACATGATGACAAAGATCAAGAGCACTGTCATCAACCTACCAACCCCATCTTATACCATGGGTTAGTTAGGCAACCCATGAATATCAGAATAATGAATAATTTAGACACTGTAACTTTTATCTTATGGGAAATTATGTATTTTAATACCCACTCAAACGGGTTGGTTTAAGTGGTAAACAACTCAATATCTCTTAAACAGGTTTTGAATTTGAATTGTAAAAAATCTCGAGTAAAGACTCACCCGCCAAAATCATGTATGCGATGCGAGTTAATTCAGATTAATCGGTACAAAATTTTAAAACTAGGAATACAACAAAAATAACCACCATAATTTAGTGTTTCATATATGCTTAACCACCCAATTAATCTTTTTTTCCCTAATTGATGGAATATTGAATATTGATGGGAACATAAAAGGACTCCATTGATTTGCCATAAAATTCTTGTTTTGAATGATTGACTGAACGTAAATGGAATTCGAATTCTCTTTTTCAAGTTTGAAAATTTCCATTTTCCACTCGTCATTGTCTGTGCTGCATACCTTGTTGATTACAGGTCTGATTTTCGTAATTAATTAATGAAGTAAAAATCTAGAGATAAGTAAATTTCAAATTTTAAAAAAAATTAAAAATGAAATTTACATTATCCCTGATAGGGATGGCAATCTAAAATCCAATCTCACGGTTCAGTTCCGATCCGATCCGACACGATTTGATATGGTTATATTTAAAAAAAAAATCAGGTTTGGATTAGATTTTTAAGAGATGAGATCAGGTCGGGTCGAATTCGGGTGGAAGGTGAAAAAAACTTTGACATGAGGATAAAAATGTAATTTCTTCTAAAAATTTGTTTTTATTTTAATTAAATCTTTATTTTATGCCGGGTAGGGTTTATACTCTAAAAATTCAGGTCAGATTGGAGTCGGACGGAGGAAATATATTTTTTGGGTCGGATCGAATGAAGGATATATAATTTTCTAGTCGGGTCGAGTGGGGGATACATATTTTCAGACCAGGTCAATTGATCAAACACCCGATCCGTTATCATCCTAAACCCAGCATATGGTGAAAGTGTTTCTTTCTTTAAATTTTGTTTTTTTTAATGTATGTATCTTTAATTTTAAAAGTTTATGATAATTTAGATTATGAAATATTTAAATATATTTGATCTTATACTCTTAATATTAATTCGATTAAATAATTAATTAATTAGTCATAAATATACATATAAATATTTGTGTGAGCTAAACTTTGGACACACAATCAATTAATGCAAAGCTAGCATAATCAAATAAGGCAGTAAAAGAGATTTCTTGCACATGGATACCACATGCATGGTCCAATTAATGATCCAATTAATGAAGGGGAAAATTTAATTGTTGCCAAGTTTATTAGTAATTGGAAAACATCTAAAATGTATTTTTATTAATGCACAATCATAATAATGACTTATATTTAAATAAGTTAATTATTTTTTAATAATCTATTATTATTATAATATAATATTTGTTCAGAATTTTCTTAATCAATTGACAATGCATACACCCTACAAACGCAGTTGCTTGAACCCAAGAGTTCTAAGAAGAAAAAAATCTCATTTTATCACTAAAACCACTTGATGGGTTCAAATGAGTTAATTGTTAAAATTAAATTATTATAAATAAGTATATCAAATATGAATCACATTAATATTTCATATTAAAATAACATAAAAATTAAAAATGAAATTATATGAAAAATAGCATTAAAATAACACAATTAAAGGTGTCAAAATACACGTACAACTAACTCTTAATATTTAAAAGTTAATAGAGACCGTAAGGGTGATCGACCGTTTAATATTATATGATTAAGAGTACTTAAAACAATATATTAATTTATAATCACGCGAGCTTAATAAAAAATAATAAAAACACATTGAATTTAATACATAAAATGATAAAAATATCAAGAATAAGATATAAACATTTTTTCTTCTTCTGTAAATTGAATAATTTTTTTTGAAAAAATATTGAAAATATAATATGAATTAAGATATAATATACACGAATACAAAAATTTATTTTCAACATATAAAATAGAATATTGTAACATAAAACATATAATATCTTAACCGCACAAAAGTAATACGAATACAATATATGATATAGGAAACATGAATAAAGTATAAATATCATAACATAAAATATAAATATTTTTTTAAAATTTTCATGTAAATCTCAATTGAGTTTTAGGTATGCACTGACCCTTGACTGTGAAATCACCCTGACCTAAACTTTTTTATACAAAATATATATATATTAGTACATGACTTAACCAAACATAATTTTTTTAATAGAACATAAAATAATTATTTTTGAAACTATGGGTATAGGCTTATACAAATAATGGAGTATAAAAATATACATTGCATCTACTCTTATTCAGAGCAATATACAGCATTACTAGCTGGAAAATCATTAAGGGCTTCCAAGAAAGTTCATGGGGACATTTGTTTACGATGAAAGATTGCAGAACCGTATCATGATCTTTCTATTAATATCCCACATCGGTTGCTAACTTGATCTTGAGCTGAACATTTCAAAGACTAATTTAAAATTAATACAACCAATTAGATAGCGTCTGAATATATTGTAATACATAACCTCAAACATTATATGCACATTACCGACCAACAACCAAACAATGTAATCATGTTTTTCTGATGTTGTAGTTGTAGTTCAACTAGCAAGGTGTGAGTATGTATATGTATATATTGATGTGTTATGATTATAATCTTTTGTTAATTGAATACCTGTCAAAATAAGTTATTTTAATTAATTTAATTAATATTATTGTTTTTGTAATATATAAAAAGACTTGAACTCAAATATGAAATATTATATTATCTTTCAATTTATAAATGAGAAAGAATTTGATTGTTGTAGACTTCGTTGATCTCTTACTAAATAAATTAAATTAAAATAATTATTTTGAATAAATTAAATAATTTATGTATATTTAGTGATAGAGTTTAGAAATATTTTTGACGGTGATTACACATGTATTAATAATATAAAACTTTTATTTAAATTAATATAAATAAAATTTTAAAATAGATGTAACCAATAAAATAAATAAATAATTAAAAGCTAAAATAAAAAAAATGAAGTTAATATGATTCATGAAATAACTAGGCAAGTTACAAGACTACAAGTAGATGAAAATGATAGTGAGTTTATGTGTAGAGATTTTAGGTAATTACCTTACGCAGTGATGATGATGATGCATTTAAGTAATTAAACTGAAAACGACACCGCAGAGTCCGCACTCTCTCTCTTGTTTTTCTTTATTTAATAATCCCATCCCTTACAGATTCAGAGAAAGAAGAATCCTCCGTTCCCTTCATCTTCACTCTTGGCAACCACAAGGAGGGGAAAAAAACCTTCATTCCCAATCAGAAACACCCTCCTCTCAGGCTTCTTCTCTAAGTTTCCCTTTCTCTAAATCACAAACTTTAAACAGTTAAACGATTCCTCAAACTCTTATATATTTTTTATTTAACACAGTTGTTTGGGGGAATTATGCAGCCTTGTAGCCGTGAAATGCAAGCAATGGACTCTCTCTTAAACCAAACTCAACAAATCCCTATCCAAGACCTTCAAAGCAACAGTCAGCAGCAGATCCAAAGCCCACAGTTCGATCCCACTTCCTCCCACGACGACTTCTTAGAACAGATGCTCTCCGCTCTCCCTTCTTGCTCATGGTCCGACCTTAAGTCACCTTGGGACCCTCCTAAATCCGATGAAACCGGAGCTTCTAACCCCGACTGTAGTGTCGGCTTCCACTACGATGAGATTCTGGCCTCCAAGCTTAGACAACATCAAATCAACGGCGGCGGCGGCGGAGGGTCTTCTCCTGCTACTGCTGCCATGGAAATGATGATGCAGCAGCAGATTATGTTACCCGGAAGAGGCGTCGCCGCCGCAGGTGGAGGAGGGTTGACTATGCCTTTGTCTTTGGGTAGTGGTGGGTCTCATTGTCAGAACGATATCGTCGATGGGTCTGCGTTTAACTCCCCCAATCAACAGGTTCACGTCAGTTTTCACCGTCTCTTTGGTTTAGTCTTTCGCTAGAGTATAATATAACTAATATATAGATATATCAATGAACGATTGCAGGGTGCAGAGGGTTCAATGCAAGCTTTGTATAACGGCTTCAGTGCTGGACCTTTGCATGGGACTAATCAATCACCGAACCAGTCCCAGCGTTTTCACCATCCTCAGGCAAGCCTTGTTTTCTCTCTGCACTTTACCCAACGAAAAGCAGAGCCTAAAGCGGGCTAATGTGTATAAGTATTTTATATTATTCAGGGAGGCAATATGCAGACGCCAAACTTCGGAGCAACAGCAGGGACTGTAACGGAACAAAGTCAGGCAAGTGGTTCGACGACCGGAGGTACACCGGCTCAACCCAAACAGAGAGTTCGGGCTAGAAGGGGCCAAGCTACCGACCCCCACAGTATCGCTGAAAGAGTAAGCAAAGCCGAGCCTCTATCGTTGTTTGTTTTACCGATGATAGTACCGTACAGATAAGCTCAAAAATGATCTGATTCGATCCGTATCCTGAAACGATACGTGTTGACAGTTACGTAGAGAGAGAATTGCAGAGAGAATGAAAGCTCTTCAAGAACTGGTTCCCAATGCCAACAAGGTACGTACACTAGCTCCCGTCTCCGGCTTCAAACTCTTTGATTAATCTCGTCCGCCAGTTGTTTAGGGTACCGAAATATAAGGACGCGTGCCTGTTAGTATGATAAACTGATCATCACAGACCTGTAACTTTAATGTTTAGTTGGTCCCCATCTCGATCCCGATATTTACTCCAGGAAAAGAGTTGAGTAATTAGTAACTGAATGTATCAGGTTTTAGGATTTTTTTTCAAAAAAAAAATCATCATTTTTATCTTTAATAATTAAAATAAAGTGATATTATGAAAATAATTAATCCATGTTTTTATGATTATTATGATCAATAAGTGTTTTGATTTTGTGGGTGTGGAATGACAGACAGATAAAGCTTCAATGCTTGATGAGATCATAGATTATGTCAAATTCCTCCAGCTCCAAGTCAAGGTTTTGCCCCTCTTAATTTTTTTTTAACTTCATTATGAACCAATTTATTTTATTAAAAGAAATTATGAATGATTCGCTGAACTGCTTGACATTGTTTTTAAGATTATTTAATTATGTATACCTAATCCAGTTGTAATTATATGTATGGGCCTTTCTGACAATTAAATTCTTGCTGTTTCCTGGAAATTATGTAGGTTCTGAGCATGAGCAGATTGGGCGGTGCTGCTGCCGTTGCTCCCCTTGTTGCTGATATGCCTTCCGAGGTAAAACCCAATCGCCCTAGTACGTCTGATTTTATGGGTGGAAAATGTAAACATAACAAGACGGTTCTGTCTTGTCTTGTTTAAAATCATTCTGTTTCTCTCAAATCAAACCACAAAACGACAAAACAAAAGCAGCACGCTTGCCCCCCACTGTCATAGATTCGTCCTCCTTTTCCTTTGTTTATTTTGGTTTTGGGCGTTTATTTTTGTCCAATCATCTCTTTTTTAGGGAGGGGATTGCGTTCAGACGGCATCTAACGGTGGTGGGTCCATTCAGCGGAATTCTAACGGCAACCAAACGCCTGCGAACAACGACAGCATAACGGTGACGGAGCACCAAGTGGCCAAGCTTATGGAAGAAGACATGGGCTCCGCCATGCAGTACCTCCAAGGGAAGGGTCTCTGCCTCATGCCCATTTCTCTCGCCTCCGCCATCTCCACCGCAACGTGTCATTCCAGGAACCCCATGATCAACAATGCCAACCCAAATAAGGGCGGCGGCAACCACCCTTTACTTCAATCCAACGGCGAAGACCCTTCCTCGCCTAGCATGTCCGTGTTAACTGTGCAGTCAGCCACCGTGGGTAATGGCGGTCTTGACGGCTCCGTTAAAGATGCTGCCTCGGTATCCAAGCCTTGATGACGGCGTTGACTGACTGACACAACAAAAAGGAAAGAAAGATGGCAGCTTTAAGTCTATGAAAATAAGGTGGTCTCCAAACGACTCCGTATTTACACAGACTTTGAGCAAAGCCTGGCAACTAACCTAACCAACCCCAACAACAGTGGACAAGAAGAAGAAGAAGAAGAGGATCAAACCCAAACAACTTATTATTGTTATTATTAAATAATTTTAATTGTTCTTTTTGTTGGTTTTTCCTTAACTTTATTATTATATATTTTTAAACTTAAATGTAAATCAAAATGAATGGCATTAATATTTTCAATTTCCTTTTTAAGTGTGGGCGTGCTGATTATATTTGTATTAATTATTACCAAGTTTAAATTACATTTGATACCTTACTAGTGTATGATTTTTATGTATGCTCCATAAATGATTAATGTATAAGAAATATGCATCCAAGATTAGGGATGGGTAAGGAGTGAGACGAGGCAATTTTTTGTAGTTTTAATTCCGATTTAAAAAATTTAAATGTTTTTATTTGATTTATTTTAGTGTTTGATTATATTATTCTGTTTTAAATTAATTTTACATCCTAAAATAAAAGTACATCTTGAATTTATTTAAATATTTTTTTTTATTTTTATTCAATAAGTTATGAAGATAATATACATAGAGAGATTTTGTAATAATTATATAATTATAACATAATATTATATTAATTTTTCAAATTAAATTTTAAAAAAATATTTCAAATTTGATTTGATATTAACTCTCTTATTCATAACGTTATAATCCACTCCTAACATCATATCCACCTACGAAGCATTGAACTATAGTATGTATTATTAACATGGTTTGTTTAACTGGTAAGCAACTTGATATTACTTAAGTAAGATTTCAGATTTGAATTCTTGTATACGTATAAAATACCTGCTGAAAGATTCACCTACCAAAACTAAATATACAATTCATATCGATCCTGATTAGTTAAGACAAAATTTTAGAAGCGGAGGGAAAAACACCTATAATATGTATTGGATTCATTGTTTTGAAATAATTACGCAATTATTATACATGTATGAGTCGGAGGCAGGCCAGCCAGGTTTGAGTAAATAACGTGCTTTTATAAAGGTTTAAGCAAGTGGTCTGTAGTGAGAAGTAAAGGAACGTGGAATGGCTTACAAGTTACAAGTCAACGGGCGAGCTGCTTTTGTTTATCTTCACTTTATTATCTCTATTATCTTAATAAGGGTAAATTATACAAATCATCATCGGACTGTATAATGTTACTTTGTTCAGTTCATCAACTATTAAAAGTTGAAAAAATGATCATTTGATTATAAGATGCTATTATGTTCGATCCCTTAACTAATAAAGTTACAAAATAGTCTCTCAATTATAAGACAATACTTTTATTGAGTAATTTGATTATTAAAAGTTATAAAATGATCATCTGATTGTTTATATGTTCTAAACTCTTCATTTTCCGTTGAAAAAATTGATAGTCATTTGAGTTAGACGTTAGTCTACTGACTGAGATATGATAAAATCATATTTTAATGATGTCTATTGACATAGTCAATGGCCCATTACCTTCAAACACCAGCTCAACGACATAATACAAGTAGAGATTCAATCTACAAAATACAACTCAAACATTTATGAGATCGGATTTTACTATAACCTAGTAAGCAAGTTAATGTCCAACTCGAACGATTTTTAACTTTTTGACGAAAAATGACGAGTTTGAAACATATGAATAGTCGAATAACTATTTTGTTACTTTTAATAGTCACGAGACTCAACAAAACATTGTCTTATAGTCAAATGATCATTTTATAATTTTCAATAAATGAGAAACTCAACAAAGCAACCCCTATAATAAAATGACTATTCGTATATTTTACCCTTTCAAATAAATGTACACAGAAATAAATGATGGAACAGATATGATTAATTATTAATATTGGTTGTGCAACCTTTACACGCATTCCAACTGCTTGATGAACTAACATACCCCTCTTCACTTTGCCTTTTAATATATAAGCTTAGGTGACTTTCACATTGTTTCCACGCTCCAAATTAAATAGATAACTATTTAGAAAAATAATTTCAACTAACAATCAGTTGGTCTAGTGTGATGAGATATTAGGTCCTTTAAGTAAGGTCAAGGGTTCGAATCCTGGTGTTTGTGAATGGAGCAAACTGTATTGGGAGGATCGCCCTCGCCTTTGTAGTACCCGATCTGGATTAGTCGGTCAATAGACGGATATCAATGATTAATTCAAAAAATAATAATTTGAAAGTTGTTCTTTTAAAAAATGAGGTGATTATAAAATATTGTTCAAAATTTTATTAATTCATTGACAACGCACATATACCTAAAATTATTTAAAGTCAGAACTTCGAGAGGGAGTAACATTTACTTTACCGTTAGAAAAAAATTAAAAGTTGTTATAAATATGCGAGTGTTTGACTCAATCTACAGATGAGAAGAAATTACGAAGCAATATAGTCGATCTCCATGGTTTTCATCGATAGAGTCAAAGGGAATTGACTCCATTTGGCCTTGTTAATTTGTACTAAAGCTTGTCTAATCCATCATCTTTAATTAGATAATCTTCCCCAAGAAACATTCAACCAAACAAGACAAACAATCACTAACTAGTTCGCAGTCAAAGGTTTTGAATGCATTCGGAGCCAGCGTCGGACTGTGTTTGTTTTCTGTCGTCACCGAAAGTGATGGTAATTGATATTATTTAATAATTAATTTAGACAGATCATTAAATTGTTTAAAATGAGGATGGTTGTTTTAAGAGACATAAGGGCCACACACTAGTAATTAAGTAAATGTTTGACGAACAGAAAGATATTTTAGAATAAACAAAAAGAAAGGGGTGGGTAGCAACTAAGGAGTGCCGGGTCAAAGCTCGTTGACTTCTCGATCCTATCATCGGAGAGTGGCGGTCTTTAACCCAATGGATTAATAATATCAGTATACTTGTATATGACAAACTAGTTTGGTTTCCTCATGTTAAATGTAATTATCAGATGCGAAAAACAACCATTTACTTGGATTCATCATCAGATCCCTCCAAAGAATAACTAATGGGAATAACAACAACAACAACAAATATATATGACCCACTCAAGCAAGAGGGTCACTGAATCCAAGAAAATTCAACACTCTCGGTTGAATTCGGTAAATATATCATCATGTTGTAGTTATTGGTAGTTATTGGTTCTCGAACCCATAATCTTTAAAAACAAATATTATTTTAACTACTGAGGTAAATTAATTCGTGCTGTTGTTCTTACTATTAAATATATGGAAAAGCTTTAAAAAGTTAAAACCTACCCAGAACCGACAACCGACAACCTTGAGTCCGAGAAACGTAGGTTCAAAATGGTTGCCTGTCGGGGCTCATATTTTCAGCAATAATAAAATGGTAGATGACCCAATTTTCCCCAGCTGAAAGGCTAAAGGTAGGTAGAGTTGAGAGTAGACTGATTACCTACAGCTTTTTCACATTGAATTGGACAACACTTGCAGCAATCTCTTCATAATATTCCATTGCCTGCATGAGATAGAGAGTGATGTGGCAACTAATCTCCAGTTTTAACCCATCTTATTCATATCATAAAAAATATACATCCGCAAGAGGCACGTGGGAGTATTAAGAAACATGAAGTCCACTACTTTATGTCAATGACATATTATATGGACTTTAACTGCTATGAGCATGATACAGAATATTTTTAGCCCATTCATCTGCTTCAGCAAGCCAGTTAAAGCTACTAGTCCATTGTCTAAATTCATTCGGAACAAAATAAAAATAAATGAGAACCATTAAACAATGAAGTAGTTAAGATTTCGGAATCATAAGTACTGTTCTACAAGTACATTCAACAGTTTAAAATATCTATTCAGAGAAAGAAAAGAAGTTTAAAATATTTATTAGCTGCCTTCAGAATTCACTCTCATTCCTTTCCCAAGACCACCTCTTACAATAAATTTAATGTTCTGTCTGCATGTCTACAGAGAGTGTTACATGACAGATACCGTACCATGTGTTAAAACTCACATTAAATCTGTATAAAACACATATTAGGCAAAAAAATGTATACAAACTTCATTTGATACATGAATCAAGTCCTTGTTGAAGCCAAAACGCAGCTTCATCAGCTGCGTGATGAGTAACAGGCACACGCATGGTACTAGCAGAGCCAGATCCAGTGACTGAGCCTAATGCATCAAATAAGATATGGAGAAACAATGGGTTTCTGCTAATACACAAGCAGAAGATATGAATAAAAAAGTTCTCCATGCATGTTTGAAATAAACTGCTCAGACTAATGATAGGCCTTCTGCTTTTGATAATTACAGAGGGCAGGTTAAAAAGGGAAGAAAATCAATTTTTACCATATACTATTGCTGGTTCAACAAATCTTGCAACGACTTGTAATTCAACAGTTATGACTTCCAAAACTAGATAAGTCTTGAATAGAGTTCACATAAATATATACGTCAACTTCGAAGGTTGTAGTAGTGGTCAATGTTATGGCACAAATTAATGTTGATACGGGATATCGGATTGAGAAGGGAAGTAGATCAAGTTGCGGATTTGACTTAAAGTTCTAGACAACTCCCAGGTTGTCAAAGGCACATCCTAGGCACTAGAAGCCTTATATACCTCTCTCTATATTGATATAAATAACTCTGAAGTGTTGTATAGCGTATCACAAAACATGCAATTTTTTAAAGGTCAATTTGCTTCATTTCCTTGTGGTTTCGAATGCTTAAATATCAAGAAGCATAGAGTTTGATTTCCGGCTGGCTTTTGTATGCATATTGCCTTACAAAATAAGTGTGCCTAGGCAAGCCACGCACGTGCCCGATAAAACGCGCCTCGGCCTGAAAGGATCTATGGCACTTTTGTTGCACAATGCTTAGGCGCAAGTGCAGCTAAAAACATACATTGACAGCAGTGGGAAAAACAAAGATAAGCAACTTGATGTCAACAGGGAACCGGAGAAGAATTCATAATGAAGGATAGATAGATGCAACAGTACCTAGTCATTATGACGAAAAATAACAAAAGCACTGCAAATCTTATACATAGAACAAGTGATAGTCTATATTTATAAGAGGAAACAGATGAAGAATAATTGATGACAAGTTTGATAAAGAGTTGTGAACAGAAAGATAAAAAGGATTGAAAAAGAAGAAATGCCTTGCAACATAAAGACCTGTGGATGGTAATAGGAAGAACGAAGAAGTCTACTAGACATTTACATGGTAAAAGCGCAAGTCTAATTGAGATAATATAGAAAGCCAACAGTTGGAATAAGAAGTTCATTGAACAATCAAAACCTTAAACAGACATCTTCCTAGGCGTGCCTGAATTAACAACAAATGGGTTATAGAATATAAGAAATCAACAAATCCCCAGTGGTTCAGCAAATTGTAAATCCACTTCATTGGGAACATCTCACTGATAGACCATGATGGTCCAATCTTCATTAGTGGCCCAACCCAACCCAAGCCTTACACCCCTGCCAAAAATAAGTAGACTTAACCATATGAGTACTGATCACTTCAAATTCATCCATAATGCCACTCATTGTTTTCAAAGTTGAATCATCCTTTATGATCATCTATAGGAAGCATTGAGTCGCTATGAACAAAAATAACCATGAATCACAAAAGAAATGACATCATAGAACAAAATGGCTAAAAACAAGCCAAATTCATAAACCAATATCATTTCTTTACCAGATATCCAGTTTCCCATCAAAATGGGTAAGCATTTATGTCACTGTATATCCTAAACACTACACAGAGAACAATTTCATCAAGCTAAAGAATCCCCTAACAGTCCAAAAGCTTCTATAAGCATTTAAGCAGAGGTTGGGGGCTTGAAAGTGTAAGGCTGTGGAAGTAACAACGGACCTCTCCTCGTTTCCTTATCATCAAGCAACCTCTGCGCCCGCTTAGTCTTACAATACTGCCTATCAAAATGCTTCACCTACAAACAATCCAAACCAAAAGAAAAGAAAAAGAAACCAAATGCAGCCCGAGATAAAAAAACAGGGAAGATGGAACAAAATTTATGGTTAAATTGCTAAGATTAGAAAACAATTAGTTACCCAAGAAACCCGGCAATTCTTAACGTATTCCTCCCTGGATCTTTTGCATTCAGTGGGGTACAAGAGTCCCACTGATCCGATATCAGTGGGTTTCTTGTCCGAGTGATTTTCCAAGCATGAATAGAAAGCATCACGAGCCTTTTGTCACCCAAACCCAAATGAAGAAAAGCAAGATTCAGATTCTATTCTAAGGGTTTCTCGCAATAAATTAGAGAGATTGAAAAATATGGGTATGAAGAGAAAAACCTTGTAGCAAGCTTGCCTGGCTTGGAAAAGTACGTCGGTGTGGACTTCATCTCGTTTCCCCGATGCATAAGTTTCTAGCGCCATTGCTTTACGATAGTTACCCCCCAAAACAAGAAAAAATGGCGACGATGCTTCTTTCAATTGTCAGACACTACAATTAGGATTTGGGCTAAATAGAACAATGGTTTAATACCTTCATCCGGAACTAAACTGGGTTATAGTAGGCGCATTGAGTGTTATCCGAAGGGCCCCGTATATTGCAAGACGATTTTTTGACCCATCAGGCATCTGGCTTTTTTTATTTAGCCAAGTAAGACACCCAGATTTTTATTTTGGAATCTACGGCATTTTTATGGTGCTCATATAACTCGTCATGTTAAGTTGATGAGTTTCAATAAAAATATTTTTTATTCAAACTCGTCATCTCAATACCTCGGCATGACGAGTTTTATATACCGTAAAAAGTACAGTAGATCCTAAAATAAAATTGTATGTACCCTATTTTATAAAATTTGTTTTGGGCTGCCCTGTTGGGCAAAAAAGTCTTGCAAAGCCGCCGTTTTTACGAAAGTAAAATGAACCATATATACTTTTTTAGTACTATTTAAAATTAAGATGAAAAATAAAAATAAAAAATAAAATAAAATCTGAAATTATATTAAAAATTAAAAATTCTCATATACAAATGAGATAAAATTGAGGCAAAAAGCTATAAGAAGTTACTGTACTATTGACAAAATTCACTGTAGCTATGTATTATTTTCTATTAATATAGCCCTTTAACTTAGAAAATAAATTTAATGTAGCCCCCAACTCAGAAAATAAATTCAATTTGGTCCTTTGACCAACGCTTTTTCGTCGTTGACAATTACAATGTTAATGTGATAGTTCATGATGCTGACATGGAAGTCTAGGGTAACATATTAACATAGTGAATGACATGGCAGATTGACTAAATTGGTAACTCAAACATGACAGATGAACTACTACATCAACATCTTTTATCGCCACATCAACACCGTGAACTGGTACGCCAGTATTGTAACAGTCAGCTACTAAAAATATTGGTCAAATGATCACATTCGTTTTTTTTTTTCCTCTAAAAGTACATGGACATCTAACGCCTTTTTGCCAAAAAATGATTAAAGAGTTACAATTTAAAAATTATATTGATTGTAATCTGGTCTTAGACTGTTTTATTAGACAAATATCCCATGATTAATTCTTCATCTAATTTTACCCTTTCGTTTACCGTCTTTTAGCCACTCGTTTCTTTTTTCATGTACCCTTTGTTTAAAGCTCTCTTTCGTCTTCATCTTGTTGTTTTCATGGAGATTTTTCAAGGTATTTTAACTCTTTGTCTTTGTATTTTTAAGTAGTAAATTTTTATTCGCCACTTTGCTCGACAATGGGACGAGCTAACGAGCTGTTTCTATAATTTGCACAGATTAATCATTGTCCGGGTAACCATTTTCACCTGCCTCCCTGCTTGTGGTTTTCATTACAAAGCAAGTGCCATGATGAAGTCTTTGCTCTTTGATCCATACATTATACTAAATTACGGTTATGAATGTTGCAGACATTATGTGATGTGTAACGGTTGTTTCGAATTTGATTAAATTTTTCAAAAATATATAAAGAAAATTATATTTTCTAGAAGAGTGATCATCTCCACCTGTCCCACTTATGTTGATTCCTTATTTGATCTCCAACATCTTGTTAGAAAAAATGTGAAAAATTGGAAAATTTGAGGAATATTTTCTAAGTGCAAAGATGAATAATCAAATAATGAATTTATTGATTCATATTCTACTACGTGATAACTTTACAATGGTATCTTATATGCTCAAAACGATTGAGTGATGAATGAGAAATCGATACTCAAAGTAGGATACATGTGAATTGTGTTGTGTAAGGAAAATGGGATAACTCATCCCACATTGGTGGGATATTAAGCAAGTAAATTATTTATATACACAAACTTATTTATTAATCATAGAATGACTTATATTAAAATTTTGCCTCCCATGAAGGTGCAAGGGTACACGGTTGGGGCACATTTGTACGATGTGGGAGACGTGAATAGCTGGACCGGTTGAGTCCTTCGAGGCTTATGGATATTTTACCATCTACTACGAATTAAACATTTTCCGTATTTTACCATCTACTACTAATTAAACATTTTCCTTAAGTGAAACTTATTTTTTTTAATATTCTAAATTAAAAAAAATATTATGCGATTTCCTTTTAATTTAAATATTAAGTATGGCATGACTTGTAATTCATGAATATATGCGATATAATACAGTGTTAATTGATTATTTTTATTTTATCCGGATGCTAATTACCAACCGAATTTTATTTAAGACGATATTAAGTGATTGTTTCCGATTTTATTCGAACACTAATTAATAGTCTGAATATATTGTTTCCAATTCGTCTCCATTGTGAATCACTATAAATATCGTGCTAACCTACTAGGTTAAACACGGTTCAAAAACTCTCTTCTTCCTCTCTTGTTTTCGATGATAGTCTCTAGCAAGATTTGGTTCATGATCTCTCAAGTTGTGCTACTGTGCGCTGATCATATCTTTGTTGTATCCTGTGAGACAAATGACCAAGATATCTTGAGCACTAAGGAATGGCCAAAATTTTGTCTTAAGGAAACTGTGTTGTTGCAAGCCTCAACCTAATTCAAGTTCAATATCCTGTTATTATTCGAGTTATTTACTCTAAATTGTTTCTTATACTTTATTAATAAAATTCGATTTTTTTCCGTCTCAGATTATATAACACATCCCTTATTGCAATTAGCTGGAACTATTACATTGTGGGTAGGATTTGCATGGGCAATAAGAAAGAAAAGGCTGGCTGGTGAGGAACAAGACAGCACCTAAGAACCATAACCTAACAATATGGTCCTTTTGTCTATGGTCCAGTCCGATTCTTGAGACCCAATATTATCGTTCATACATTTTATTTAATTATATAAATTTTGATGGGTCAATAATTAATATTATCTATTTTTAAAAAATAGTGTACATTCTATTTTATATCATCATTACTTTTTTAACCGAATGACCTCAGTAGTAAAATAATTGTTCTTCTTTGAGGTCCCGGATTCGAGCACCAGAAATGTCGGGGTGTGTGCGTTCAATATAAAATGGTTGAAAGTTTTTTTTATAGAAAGTCTATAGTTTTATTAAAAATATAAAATATCCAAAATAACAATAAATATTTACAAACATAATTGTAAACTTAAAACATAATTATGGCATTTTCCTATTATAATTGAGACAAAAACTAGCATCCTATATCACATAAGGATTAAAGAAGAAAAATGTTAAAAAACCTAACCAAAAACTCGAATAAAATAAAAATATGAACAAATCCGACTACATCAGTAAACGAACCACAAAAGGGGATGAAGCTACTAAAAGTAGGGGTGTGCAAAAATATTCGACCCGATTGACCTGACCCGCCGACCCGAACTTAAAAAAAGCGTGTAATTTTCTAAAAAAATTACCTGACCGGGTTAGGTACCCGGACCGACATTTCCCGGGTCGGGCACGGGTCACAAAATTGAGTTTTTCCTTACCCAGGTACCCGATTAGTTTTTATTTTTTTTATTTATATATATATAATATATAATATAATATATTATTTATATTATAGATTATTAGATTTTGTATTTTGAACTTTTAAATTTTATGTTCATATGTTAGAGTATGTAATTCGAAGTTTCTAATATTTAAATTTGTGTATATTTTTTTAAATTAATAATTTAAAAATAAAAAAAATAAAAAAATTGGGTACTGGGTACGCGATTACCGACAACATCCAAGTCGGAACACGGACTGAGAAATCACTGATCCGGATGTTGCGAGTACCCGGTACTCGAAAATCTGAGTACCTGAATTTGCAACCCCTAACTAAAAGACCACCAACAAATCGCAAATCAAAGTCAAACGACGTGGGAAATCCATCAACGAATGCAAAATGTGTGTCCAAATCAATCTAATGGTCCAAAGCATGAAAGTTCATCATTATAAAAATTAAGCGCCATCTTGATCAGTCGTGACGATATCAAATCCAACCCTGAGAAAAAATATAAACAAAAACAACTGCAAAAAATCGTAAACTACCAGAAGACAGAGAAAAACATGTCACAAATACATAGTTAAACGGCCATAAAGGCAAAGAACATATTACCAAAACATATTTATTCTTATAAAAAACTAAAAGAAAAAAGGAAAAAAGATAACCGGAAGGCTACAACTAACATTAAAATCGGTGTCTCCGCCTATTAAACAAATTAAAGAAGAAAAATTTAAATTGATCAATAAAATTAATACAAGTTATAAAAAAAAAATCACATAATTAAAAGTTATCTTTAAACAATATTACTTATCTAAAATTAAAAAAAAAACTATTTTTTAGTCTCAAACCTGAGTATGTGGACCCAGTAAAAAGCTCCTACTGTGGGTGATTATAAAAGAATTTCCAAATACATAAGGGCTCAATTTCGTACAACAGGCCCCAGTGGGGGCCTGTAGTGAAATTAGACAACAAAATAAGATTTCAATTATTTTGTCATCAATCTAATCCATCGGGTAAATGGAAACTAAACACCGACTCTCATAGATTAATTATTTTGTAACCATTTCAAACAAAAATTGTGTCGTTTAGGGGACATTTTATTTTCATTAAATAAAAGATAATAATACAAACAATTATTAAAAATCTAATAGAAAATAATTTAATTCCATCAACTATATGCTTCGATGTTCATTTTTTCAAAGGATAATATTCTTAATTTTAGTATTAATTTCTACCAATGTTCAAATCATCAACATGTTTGTATTGTACTGGAGATAAATAGGTTTCGGGAATTTATAAAGTCTGTCTTGTTTTTTATTCCCCTAATGGAAAAGGGAATTAATTTATAAAAAGAAAGGATAAACTACGTATTTAGTACTTAAACTATTAATTTTGACATGTTTTAATATCTAAACTTTTAATTTTTTTAAAACCACACATAACATCTAGTTTTCATTTTATTTTAGTATATGTCGTTAAAAACTTAACGCGTTTAATACCTAAATTATCAGTTTTGATCCATTTTAGTACTTAAACTTTCAAAAAAATTCAAAATTAACGTTAAATTTTGAACAATGGTACTATAATGAAACAAAAATTAAATTTTTTAACAGCGGAGTACTAAAATGAAATAAAAATTAAAGTTTAAGTATTGTTTTGAAAAATTGAAAGTTCAATTACTAAAACGGATCGAAACTTATAATTTAGGTACTAAACATTTAATTTACCTAAAAAGAAATGTGAAAAATACAACCTGGGGGTAGTATAAGCCGTGTAAAAAGCATGAAGCCATGTGGGTGATGGTGGGTTAGGAGCAATTAGTAGTCACCCACCAGAATGTGGCGGATGCTGTTCTTCACATGAACCAAAACTTGGTTCAGTCTTATTCCAACCTGACAGCGCTTCCTGTCTGCCTTTGCTGTTGTTTTACGACCACTTGCATCATTCAAGCTGGAATATCAATTCTTTTCATTCACAAATCACAACCCATCATTATATGAATATACGACGCCTTTTTTTTGGTTGCCCTCAAATTAAAATTAATCTCGATCACACCCAGTTTACGTAGATAAATCTTCTAACAGAGATTTTCTGTATAGATAAGGACCGGAAACCTGAATACACCATACCCTCTTCATCAGTTTCAAACATTGCAAACTTCAGATTTTTGTTACTCTTTTTTCCCGGAATACAAGAGGGTGCAAAATTCAGGGTATCCATTAACTAATGCAGAAAGAAAGATGATTCCCAAGTTTAAAGCGCCTTTAAAACAGGAAATAGACTCGTATGAGTACGTACCAATACTGAAAGCACAGCAAAGGGTCTATAGTGGACCTATATTTCTTTTACCAGTTATAGATACGGGATGCAGATCCTTACAAATTCGACACAAAATCCAATGACAAAAGTGGACTATTCAATAGATACACTGAAACCAATACGGGCAAAGAGGCTGCCCTTGTGGTACAATAATTGAGAAGAAGTTTAAATGAAATTGAAAATCCGAATACGTTAACGGACGAGGTCTGCCTGTTCAATTAGTTGATAAATGAAAGGAAATGTAACGAGAAATCCTTAAAAAGATGATCAACTCTAATTGGAAAAGACGGCAAAAAAAAGTTGAAGATGAGATGACAGCACAAACATGAAAGCATTAGAAGAAAATGGATCGGCAAATACATAATATTCCCTGTTACCAAGTCACAATCGACCAACTCCAGAAATACATGATAGAAAATAATCAAGAACAGAACATCCTCTGTTCCTGATTTACATCTAAACAATAAAATCAGGGGACTGTTGAGTTATCGGCGGGTGACGTCCAGACGATGTCCTTAAGTGCCGGTCGGAGCTCTTTACTGCAAAACTGGTTGTACTCGAGGGTGTCACCGTGGTCTTTTTTAACTTCCACCACCAGAAACGACGGTGTCAATGCGAATATGTCAACAGCAATGGCTAATTTCCCTTTCCTTCCACATTCCTGAGCCTGCAGCCTCACACTCGACTCGCTCTTCTTGACGCTGAACTTCATCGACTTGGCCACCTCCTCCAGTCTCGATATCACACTGCTTGCCGGCTTTGTGGTGGCAAATCTCAACTCCTCTCTCTCCTCTCTTTTCTCTTCAAACAACGGTGACAAATCAAACCCCTCGGATAAAGAAATTATGTGGAAGGCATTCAAAGTTTCGGGCTTTGATGATTTCTCGGTCGCGAACGCATCGAATTCCAACTCTTCATTGGTTCTGATAGTTCTGGGTATTGATTTCTTGAACCAAGATGAGTCCATCACCTTGGAGATGGTGATTCGGGTATTTGGGTTGGGATCTAAAAGCTTAGTGATTAATCTGCGAGCTTCAGAGGAAAGCCAAGCTGGGCACTTGAAATCTCCTCTGTAAATCTTCCTATACATGGACACCAAATTATCGTCTTGAAATGGTAAAAACCCAGCAAGAAGAACATAAAGGATTACCCCACAAGACCAAATATCTGCCTTAGCTCCGTCGTACCCTTTCTTCCCAATCACTTCGGGAGCCACATAAGCCGGTGTTCCACAAGTCGTGTGCAATAACCCATCTTGTTTCAAGTGCTCAGAGAAAGCACTGAGTCCAAAATCGGTGATCTTCAGGCTGCCATCTTCATCTAACAGCAAATTCTCCGGCTTCAAATCGCGGTGGTAAACCCCGCGGCTGTGGCAGAAATCGATGACGGAAACCAACTGCTGGAAATAAAGTCTGGCCAGGTCTTCCCTGAGCCGACCCATGGCGACTTTCGAGAACAGTTCGCCACCACGAACGAGTTCCATGGCGAAGTAAATCTTGGATTTACTCGCCATGACTTCATGCAAATCGACGATATTAGGGTGTTTCACCATCTTCATAACGGAAATCTCCCTCTTAATCTGCTCCATCATCCCAACTTTAATCACTTTCTCTTTGCCGACAACTTTCATGGCAACGCTCTTCCCTGTCTGAAGATTCCGTGCATGGTAGACTTTAGCAAAGGTTCCATGGCCCAACATGCGACCAAGCTCGTATTTTCCATGAAGCAAAGATGGGTGTTGGTCACTTTTTGTTTTCTCAGACATTTTTTTCAGCTCTCGAGAAACGCAATACAAAAAGAAGATATCTAAATTATTGTATATACAAATACAACAACGCAAGAGAGAACATGGTAAAGAAGAAGAACATGAAGAACAGAGATGTTTATTTGCGAATGGATCACCCGTCTTCGACGTGTTTACGGTGGCAATTCCTGCTGCCGATGGACCGCTTACCGTGCCCACACAGCTCAGGCCTTGTCAACGATGCCCCTCTCATCTCTCTGCATTCCCCGAGGGATATTTTGCCTGTTTTTCCTCCCCTTTTTGGGATTTTTAGAACGAAAAAGCTTTGCTATGATATATGTGGAAATAGAAGCTTTGCTTGCCTTTCTGACTTGGATGCATAGAGGTTCCATTTTATACAAGTTTAAACGAGTTCGGATTTCCCATTTTATCCTTTGGTTCATCGGACGGTTATGATTTAAATTCATTGGATCAAAAATCCATGTGTCTTGATCTTTAGGAGTGCTGGATTACCGAAACAATTGGATAGCGACACGTGTAATGGCCGACGTAAGCGTATGTAATAACGCCTCCTCCTCAACTTTTTCATGATATCACCTTACGAAACCGAAATAAAGAATCCAAATATAAAACAAACCATAAATTCGATAAAAATCTATAATAAATAAATTTAATATTTTTTCCATAAATTTAAGAAAGAATGGTCAAATATTAGGTTAGTTTTATAAATAAAATTGTATAAAACACAACGTCTTTCTATTGTTGACTGGGTTTTAAAAAAAAGGGACCTTAGATGACAAACAAAAAAACACAGAAGTGTTGAGTCACTAAATGCACAATTTACCCATATATGCAAACTCCGGACACAAATACGTAAAATAAAAGCCCTTGTCAGGCTTTAATAATTGTTGGTTTCTAAAGTAGTTCCGTGGGGTCCACACTGTAGGAAAGTGTGATTGTTAGGCATGATAAATGATGAATTATTACGGCCGTTGGATTACTGATACGGCTACTGTAAAACGAAGAGATGTTTTTGGAATCCACTTCCCTCTAACTTTCCGTGAATAAAACAAATATTTATGATATCTTTTTATTTTTCGAGAGTTGGGCTGTGAAATAAGGTTAATAATCGGCGTCATCGGTAAAAAATGTTACAGGTTAAAAACATTACTTATAATATTATAAATTATAATTTAAAAAGTTATCAATCGAAATAATAATATATTACAATAAAATAGGAAAAATGCCAGAATAATGAAGTATGGAAAAAAAATTCACAATAACGTGATTCCAATATTATTTCATCATCTAAAATATTTTTTGCCGTACACACTTAAAGACTTCAAGATATCTCGGTGTCTTGGTTTACGTGACTTTACTAGCTAACAAGGCCAGCCTGAAAATAAGCAATTGATATGAACTGTTGATAACACTCTAACGTTGATGATGAGGTATCCTCTTTTATCGTGCAAATGGGTCACCATGAAAATCCAAACCCATCATTTTCCTCTCATTGACCTTGTGGTTCTGCTTTTGGTTCGCTCAGGTTGTTTGCTAACTAATTGATGATTTGTTTAATGTACTAATTATACTCTAGTTTAAAAAACCTATATTCGTTTAAATTTAAAGGCTCGTTTAATTATACTCGTAGCCTTCTATATTTATTTAATTCAACATATTTTTAAATCTTACTTAATCACACATTATCTTTTTACACACTCCAGACTTCAACCTTATCTATATACAAAAAGTAGTATTTCTTGACGTGGAATTTCCTATACAAAAAAGTACTACAAAGTTGGCTCATGAGATAAAGTTCGTGGAAAATACAATTGTATCCAACTCAATGTATGTGATTGTATCGTGCTTGTTTGACTTTTAATTAAAAAGTTATGTTAATAGCATTTTGATGTTTATCCTTAATATCTCCTCAAATCAACTTTTTTTTTTCTCTTTCAATTAACCAATGTTTAATTTTTAAATAAAACGAATAAAAGATATATGTTGAAAAGTCTACCCGTACACTTAATTATCTTTGTAGCAACGTTTATTTTGTTAGTTACGTGACAAAAAAATATTTGAAAATTGCATCCGAAATTTATATATTTACTAATAATCAATGGGTCTAATATGATAAAATATTGAATTCTTTGAGTAAAATTGAAGATTTGAATAGGGATGGCAATGGGTCGGGTCGGGTCGGGTTTTTGGGCCACCCGACTCGAGAAGAAAGGGTACTTCACCCGTGACCCGACCCGACCCGACGAAATTAAGATTTTACCCTACCCGATCCGAATATATGACTTAGAAACCCGACCCGACCCGAAATAATAAAAAAATATTTTTATTCAATAAAAATAGTGACTTAATTGAAAAAATTATATATAGAGGGGTAATATTGTAATTATCCCTAAATATATAGGGTAAAATTATATATATATATTCGGATCGGGTCGGGTTGGATTTTTTTCACCCTAAACCCGACCCGAACCCAATTTTTTTTAACAAAAATCCGACCCGATCGGGTCGGACCCCGTCGGGTTCGGGTTGAGTTGTCATCCCCAGATTTGAATATTGTTTTTTTGACGAAATTTTATAAGTTCAAGTTCGCTATCCTAAAATTTTATAAGTTCAAGTCCGTCCCTTCTAACATAAAATCATGTGTCCGTCCCTGGTTGCAACAATTGGCGGATGTATGTAGAATCTAGGGTGGGCACATGTAGACCCTTGAATCCGAATTTATTTATATTAATTGTTTATTTTACTGAATGTGTCATCCTGAAATTTTATTTGTGCTCATCTCATACAATCTTTTGTTTTGTTATTAATACATATGTATCCACTCTGTAATTTTTTTCTTGATCCGCCACCGATTACGATAACTAAATCGTGTTTAAGACAAGTAATAACTGTTCTAATCAGGATTGGTCTTTGCGACAATGAATGAATCTGAAAGACTAGCAAAGTCGTTCGCGGTGGGCGTGGCCGCCATTAACCAAGATAAACCAAATTAGGTGATACATACATTTGACTCATCTCATGCATCATGCACCCATTTTCCACCCTTAGCCTGCCTATTGTTCAAAGCCTGCACCATACCCGTCCGCGTGCAGCAGCTTCCCAATGAATAAAAAACCGCAAATTTTCTTCAAATTATAATAAATGTGTTATTAAAAATTACGATTTTGATTATTTTTTTTAAAGACGAATTGTATTATATTTTAATCAGTATCTTAATCATAATATATTGTATTTATTCAAAAATCATATAATTTGATCCATCTATAAATAATCATTTAAAATGCATGATCCGAGTTTAAAGATATTATGCTCAGAATTATAAAAAAAAAAAACTGAATCGTGAGATCAGACGCGCAGCCTCTTCTTTTGTCGGGAGATATTCATTGATTCATTTAACCACATGCTAAAATTGACATTAAACAAACAGATACATGAGTAGAATTATATTGTTTAATCATTATATATATTATTTTTAAAAATGATAATTTATATAATCTCCAATCAATGCCTAATGAGCAGGAACCATTTCGTGACTTTTTTTTTTATGAAAATTAATAGTCATTAAAAATCTCTTCTACGACCTATTAGGGAAAAAAGTGGTCGGGAAATTCTATTAATCACCAAGCTTCAGCAAGGTCGAGAACCCGATCCATCAACAACTTTTAATGATTAATTACTTGTTATTCAACACTAATTCAACATCAAACTAATCTTGTTATTTTATAATACTCGATATAATTTGTGGTAGTTTTTATTTTATTTTATTCATGAAGGAATTTACACATATTCTATCGCTAATAATATTTCTTAAATATAAATCACTTAAAAGATTAAAATTAGCTGATCCTATTCCCATATGTAATGGGATAAGGGAAGGTATGATAGTAGACTGCTCTCAACGCTAGGTTGAGAGTAGTTTCCGTGGGAGACCTCCGACAGTCAGAATTATGAATTGCCTACCGGGTGACTCAATCCCACGACCACAAGGTTAAGAGCCTTGCGCTCTACCAATTGAGCTGGACGGGCAATTCATAAATCACCTAATATATATTCTTTTTGATGTTGAAATCATTCCTTAATTCCAAACCAATCTTATTTCATTATCCCGTCAGTTGTGACAGTGATATCACCTTCGTTTGAATATAGACATAGGGTAAGTCGATTAAAAATTTTGGAAGTATTTGATTGAGAAAAGTAAAGTGTTACTAGTATTTTATGCCTACGTGAAATCACGAGGGATCTAGATCTACCATGTGCTTCACATAGAGCCAACTCTATGCGCACTTCCACGGCATTTAACAAATCATCGTGTATGCATGTGAAAATCCTACTATACGTCTACTTGAGGAAAGTGCAATTAAAAATACTACTAACATAGTGATCGACTGACTTAATGATCTAATGACATTATGACCGAATGATCAAATTATACCATTAGGCTATTCTATCATTAGATCATTAGGTCGTTCAGTCACTAGGTCCGTCATTAATAAATAATTATATATTATTAATTGAGTTTTGATTTAATTAATATATTATAGAGGTGGTAGATTTAAATATAATTACCCTTTATTTTAAAATTCAAGAAATGAATAATTTAAAAATCACATAAAAATAAGCACTATTAAAATTTTTATTTAATTTAAAGCCATGCAAAATGTAATGTAAGGGTGAGAGGGGACAATGACTAGGAACCGTCATGGCCATACGCAAAAGCCTATCACGAGTCGGTAGCTCATCCAAGAGAGCCATTCAAGCAATGATAGCATGCCTAGGAACATGAATTGAAAATCAACTATATTAATAAAAAAATGATTGAGTTATTTTAATTTTAATTTTGAATTAATTTAGTTAATTTAATTTTATGATTAAATTAATTTATCAATTATTAATATATATAAAGAATCAGAAAATAGAAATGAGCTTTTGGTTTTCTACCAAACGTAATTGGATATGCGACAGAATATTCCACCCAAAATGAAATAATTGAGTGGTTGATGAATAAAATAATAAAAGGAAATTCGGCATATTTACCATATGGCAGCAATGAACATTTTTTTACAAAATGATGTTCGGGATATAATACTCATCAAATGAGGGTGAATTTGTCTTTATCTTTTTTAGATTCATTGAAATTTTAATATCAATTAAATCGGTCGTAAAATGGGGAGTTCTAAGAACGGAAGACTAATATAAAATTGAAAAAAGACGCAACCGAAAATATAAAAAAAAAAGCCTTAACAAAATGAGTTTAGTAATATCTAAAATATTAACTTATTTGTAATATATTGAGTTGTAACTATATATTTTAAAATAATTTTAGATGGTGTAACCGGGAAACTTATCTTATAAGTTAAAAGAGGAAACATGACATTATAAAGCGGAATTGGAAAAGTTATCAATGTAATAACATAATAGGTTAGACCTAAAATGTTATAACGGTAAAAAAAATAAGTTATAAACAATAAATGTTATGAATATTATTAACATCTTAGGTTGCGCCTAAAATGTTGTCAAAGTTTAAGCTGATAGAACATTGAATTTTGTCAGGATAATAAAATAAGTTAAAAACTAAAAATATTGTGAATATATATAAGAAATACGGATGCGCCTAAAAATGTCATGGTTCACTAAGAAATAGGTTGCGATATGGAATGTTAATATTTTTATTAATAAAATAGGTTGCGCCAAAAAATGTCATGGTTTACTAAGAAATAAGTTGTGATCTAGGATGTTAATATTTGGTAATTAAATGAGTTGCGCCTAAGCATGGCATGGTTCACTAAGAGATAGGATGCTATCTGGAATGTTAATATTTTTTATTAATGAAATGGGTTACGTCCAACAATGTAATTGGAACATCCCAAACTAGGGGTTAGTGGCTAAATTGTAAAGTTTAAGAATTTGATGAATTAAGTAGAAGAATGGAATAATTCGATGATTTATTTGGAAATAATTCCTAAAAGTTGTTAGTAATTATTAAAGTAGATGAAGGGCAAAATGGTCATTGAACAAAGATAATATTAAATATTAATAAATGGGTATTATAATATATGAGAGGTATGATTGAAGAGATAAGTTTTAGACTTATCTTCTTCATCTTCATCTTCTTTCAAACGTGAAGAGCCAAGCTTGCAAAGGTGAGTTTCTTTGTTAGTTGGTTATTTGCTAAATTTATGGTTGGGTTTTGATCATTAGATAATAACTAAGCTTAAGGAAAGCTTAAGTTATCTTAAGATTGAAAGATAAAGAAGTTATGAAAGATTAAAGAAAATGAGTTTTTAAAGGAAATTCTGGAAAAGAGTTAATAAGAGATTTTTAAGATGGAATTTGACTTGTCATCAATAAGAATAAGAGATTTATGAAGTTAGAAAAGATTTATAACAAATTTGAAAGTTTAGTAAGATTCTTAATTTTAAGAATCTTGATGAAATATGGAAGATAAATATGATTTATATGGGCATAAGTTGGTTTCAATAATGATAGTTGAGTTTAAAGTCATAATAGGGGATCAAAATAGAAGAATTAAGGGAAGAGTTGATGATTTACGTGTTAAAATGTCAGTTCTGGGCAATGTGCATCGATGCACATTCATTGTGCACCGATGTATCGATGATAAATACCAGAAATTGTTTAAGATGCATCGATGCACATGCAGTGCATCGATGCATGAATTTAAATAGAAAACATCGAATAGGATTTATGCATCGATGCATAAGGAGTGCATCGATGCATCCCCATTAAATAAAAACATCGAATGCATTTTATGCACCGATGCACAAGAAGTGCATCGATGCATACATTCATTGAAAGAGGAAATGGGCTTTTCTCTTAGCCTAAGAAGTGACAGTTTAGAATATATCAATTGGAATATTGATATGAATATGTGTATTGTTATGTAGAGATAGAAAGTGATCCGTTTCGGGATAATTGAGGAATTAGAATCGAATCAAAGCAAAGCTAAGGTGAGTGCAATTTATTTTGTACTTATTTGATTGAATTAACATTGGCTTGCGATGAGCCAGTGATGTAGTTATTATGGTAAGAAGTAACTTCTAAATTGTTATGTGATTACCATGTATGCATTAATACATAGAAATAGATGGATGCTATGTTATATGATTTATATGCTTAAGTGAAAATGCAACATATGATATATGTTATTTGACATGACATGCATGGTTACATGAAAGAAAGCTATGTGACAACATGTATATGTGAAAGAAGCTATAAGCTTATATGCACATGTGATATATGTGATATGAATTATATGAAATGATTTACGTGAATACATGTATATATAATACATGTGATATGATATGAGATATATGGTTACACATACATGTGGTATGTGACAGAAGAGAAAGAACAAGTGATACGAAATGTATAAATAAATGCCCATAGTATATGATACGAGAGCTATAGGTATAGTTGGCATGCCAAGAGTCGAGGGTTTACCTATGTTGAAAGGAACATATGGATAGTTGCCGAGGATCTTTATGACCTCTGGATAGTTACCGGGGTTCTTTGTAACCTCTGGACAGGTCCTTCGGGACGAATACTGAACGAATGTTCGGTGCCCCATGAGGGAATTTATACGAGCTGTGGTGACATCATTAGTGCACAACCTCAATGTACTCACATACCTCTATTCTCAATAATATACATGGGCAATGAAATTGACAGACAAATGAAAGTGAAAGTGATAAAAGAAGGTAAGTTGCATGTGTGCATGACCTGATTGTATATTGTTATCATACAATAGATTCATGCATATTGATATGTCATGATTCAATGATATGAATGCACATACATGAATTATATGATGTTATGTGTGTTTCTGGGTATAGTGATATATGTGTTATATGATGAGTATATGGTAAGTGGAAAGGATTATTGATAGTGTTTGCATATGTATGTCTTTTATGTATATGAAATGATATATGGTTTATATTATATGTTTTATATGCCTCACTAAGTCTATGACTTAGCGTGTAAGTGATTTACACGTAGGTACCAAGAAACGAGAAGTGAAAGAATAGAAGTGGCAAAGACAGTATCACTACTAAAAGATCATATCAGAAGTATTTGACAAAGTATGTATTTGGTTATGTATAAAGTGTTGGCATGTAATAAGTCATTAAGTACGAGCACTCTGATCAAGTCTGTATTTTGTTTTAAATAAAGTTTTAAATTTCCCGGGATTTTTCTTAAGAGTCAAGATTTGAAAAGTCAATGTGACACGTCGGACTCGTATCCGGGTCGGGTACGGGTTGGGGGTGTTACAGTAATGATTCACTAAGAAATAGATTGTGATATAGAATGTTAATGTTTTTATTTATAAAATGAGTTGCGCCCAAGATTGTCATGATTTACTAAAAAATAGGTTGCGATCTAGAATGTTAATATTTTTTAATAAAATGGGTTGCAGATAATGTCATGGTTCACTAAGAAATAGGTTGCGATATGGAATTTTAATATTTTTATTAATAAAATATGTTACACCCAAGAATGCCATGTTTGACTAACAAAATAGGTTACGATATGAAATGTTAATATTTTTATTAATTAAAAGGATTGCGCACAATAATGTTATGGTTTACTAAGAAAGTAAGTTGCAATGTGGAAGGATGATTTTTCTATTATAAAAAATTCAAAAGTATGGATATTTTCCCCCAAATGTATTGATACTTTCGAGTTTAAAAAACATTGGAAAATGAAAAGATTATAAAGTATCAATATTTTTAAAAAGTATCGATACTTTTAAATTCAAAAGTTAAAATATTATTTTTTATTTTTTTTAATTTAAAAGTATGAATATTTTTTAAAGTTGTTACGTGAGTGCATACAAGACTTTCTCCGCTCTCCCAAAATTTTATTCCAATGTTTTTATATTTTAATATCGGTTTATGATCAAATATTAATATTTAAATCATTTAAAAGCATTGATTGGTGAGAATAAATATTGATTTTTTTAAGTATCGATAATCATGAATATTATTAATACTCAAGTTACGTCTGTCAACATTTCTTTCATGTAAAACAAACAGCATATACTCATCATTTACATTGTTGTGTGATATTCTAGTGTTTCATACCGACATTTCTCGAAATTAGACATATTAAATGGGGTATGTCGGGTCTAGTTAGGTCATGTTGATTCCAAATTTAAAAGTTTTAAGTTATTTGTTTGGTTTATTTTAGATTTGATTTATTATAATTTTAAACTATTTCGTATTTGGATTGTTTCAAGTTATTTTTAGATCACTTTTTAGTTTAAATCATTTTCAGGTTTAGATCTATTTATTTAGGTTAAGTCGATTTTGATTTTATTTTATTTTTCTCATTTAGGTGAATTATTTTTGAGTTTAGATAATTTGAATTTAAACAATTTTAATATCAAATCATATAAAGTTGGAGTCGTTATGTCTTCAAATAAATAAATAATTTCAAGTCACTTTGAGTTTTGTTATTCGTGTTTAACACTCGGGTTGAAATAATTTTATTTCCTTATCGTGGAAAAATCCAATAGCTAAAACCATGGTAACATTTTAGGCGCAATCCATTTTATTATTAAAAATATTAATATTACAAATCACAACATATTTCTTAACGAACCATAACATTATTGGACGCAACCGTATTTCTTATATATACTCATAACATTATTAATTTTTAACTTATTTTCTTATCGTGAGAAAATCTAATGTTTCATGAGTTTAAAACTTGATAACATTTTAGCCGTAACCTAAAGTATTAATGGTATTCATAACATTTAATGTTTATAACTCATTTTTTTACCTTATATAATATTTTATTGGGCAAAAATGCCAGAATAATGCAATATGAAAAAAAATTTCTCTACAATAACGTGGTTCCAACATTATTTCTCCATCTAAGGTATTTTTTACAGTACATGCCTAAAGACCTCATGATATCTCGACGTTTTGAGGTTAAAAATTTTGCATTCATAATCAACGAGATTACTCGGACTCTTTAGTTAAATTCTTCCTCTGATTACTGTACATTTCACTGTTCACATGGGTCCAGGCGAGGGAAGAGTTGTCCAGTTCACATGCATGCTGCATGCAATTATATTAAAAAAAAAAGGTAGTTGCACCTGCTCATCACTACTCCCCCTGCTCGCTACGCCTGCACTTCGTCGCTGGCCCCATGTGAACAGTAACAACGTCGGGTAAGCAAGGCGTCCATAATTTTTAAATTAAAAAAATGTACAGCAATGAGAAAGAATTTAACTAAAGATGGCTAATAATCCTTATAGATTATGCATGTAAAATTTTAGCCTGAAAACGCCAAGGCATCTTGAGGTCTTTAAGCGTGTCCTATGAAAATACCTTAGATAAGAAAATAATATTGGAACCACGTTATTGTGGGAAAAAATTTTCCCATACTGCATTATTCTGGCATTTTGCCCCCAATATATATGCTACTATAAAACTATATCTTGAATTGGAAGTAGAAATAAAAGAACCGGCACCTACTGTAAGCATGGGCCAACAAACAATCTTAGGCTCCCTTAATTACATCGACCCTAGAAGGAGCAAGGCCGTGTCTTTGTGTTCACATGGGTCCTTTTGATGTTTGCCCACAACTAGGCCCATCTTCATCCTCCACCCAATCATCTGCCACCATTTTTTGCTGATAATATCGCAGGGCCACAAACAGCATGAATGCTACACAATCAAACGAAAAAGAAGGTATGAACTAAACCAGTTTTGACAGCAAACTTCGTTGAAAAGTGAAGGCTTTAAGTTTTTCACCTGCCCAAATTCGAGCCACGACGGAACACAGGTTCCAAACCAGAGTGAAGATGGCCATCGCCACGGCTTTTTTATGTGTGCACGACTCCCACGCATCTCGAAACCTCCGAATCCAAAATTTTCCTACACATTCCCAACTTTGGGTTAAAAGATAATGAAAAGCAACTGTTTTCTTTTTCTTTTTCAGGCTTTATGAAAAGGGGATGATAAAGATAATGATGTAGTGATGGGTCATGTAGGGCTACTTTAGGACCCATGAAATCCCAAATCCATAGGGACATCATCAGATCAACCGAACAAACAAAAAAGAGCCGTTTTAAATCAATCAGACGAACAAGATGTAAAGATGCTGTCAGGTATGCATTAATATTTTGTTAACGGTAGAAGGTGCTGTACAAAAATAAGTTATCGTGGCGGATGGCATTTTTACCGTAGGCAGTTAATTGCTGGGAATAAGAAGAGCAGACTTTTGGAACCGTGAAAACGCCAAAAAAACCTGAGGCAGTGAGCACAACCAAGTGTCAGTTGAAAAAAAAGAAGAAGCTGCTTTCAGATTTCGTTCAGTGTAAGAATTTTACAGTCTTTCTTTACTCTTTAGGCTCAGGGCGGTAAAAAAGTTGAGACTTTTATTGTAGAACCCAATAGTGTCTTCTTTAGGTAAAACCAGGCAAACCTTTGAGGTAAAATATATGGTTTTAACCAAATAAACTTACCCAGTTTGGTCATTTTCCAGATGGTTATAGAGCTGCCACACCTGGCCAAAACAAACAGCAGCACTGCCAGCTGCACATTGTACCAATGGATCAACTTTTTTTAAAAATAAAATAAAAAAGCAAATAAAAGCAGATGTTTGGAAATTTATGACCTTCATGGTTGTTGCAGGATCACCAGAAAAGAGTGCTCTCAGCTTTATTAGGAACTCATTCAAGTAAGGAAGGACCAATTTAAGTACCCAAAAAACTTCTTCTTCTCCAACCACATAGCTTGATTCCTCTGTATCCACAACTCCCCTGCAAAGTCATAGAAACACAACACAAGGTTACCAAAAATGGAGTAAATTTAAAATGTTAATGTCATACGATGAAATGCTTTTTACCTGCAGATTATTGATCTGTAAAGGAATATGAAGGCTAGGTAAGCAAGACACATGTACGAAATTGCAGAAATACAGCTGCAGAGGGCATGGATCAACACAGTTTCAATAATTTAGATAAAAATGAAAAAAGGGGGGTAAATTTCCAAATTTGAAAGTTGTGTTTCAGTGAAAATTTAGAGACCTGATGTTGAGGCCTTGGGTGTAAGAAGAGGAGATAATGATAAATGTTCCCATCCCAAACACCAATGTTGATTTCGGTACATCTCTCCACATTACTAAATCAACTGAAAGATTAACAAAGACAAACGAGAAGAGTTAAACAAGTTGGGGATATGAAACTCGTTGAACTTTGCAGGAAAAGAAATAAATTCCCACCTAGATTCTGCCATTTGTTCTGAGTTTGTGGGAAGCTCTGGTAATGATAATCATCTGAGGCTGAAACTGAAGGATATGACAATAAGGTCAGAAACATTAAGAGGTAAACAATGTTTACGTCGGTAAGTAAAGCGTTGAATAGATACAAATGCTTACAAGGAGTGGATTTTGCAACTTCTGTAGGAGTTGTGCAAAGTGGTGTGGCACGTTTTACAACCGGCGGAGACTGTTTTTTCACTGTTGAAGAAAATGGTGCACTTCTGTTATGGAATTGGCTAATTTTCTTAACTTCATTGACAGCTTTTTCAGGTTTTGTTTCTGGTAATTTCTTCACTTCATCAGCCACTTTGTCAGGCTGCTTCTCTTGTACATTCATTTCCTTGATGTCATCAAAACTCTTCTTTTCATTCCCAACCACCTCAATTTCCTCCTCCTCTTCTTCATCTTCAGAAGATTCATCATCATCTTCAACACCACCACCACCATCATCATCATCAACTGATACATCTGGAGATGATCCTACTAACTCCCCATTGCTTGTACTGCTTGTAATGACATTTTCTTGGCACACACCAAACTCTTTACAATTCTCCTCAGACTCAGATCCATTCTTCTCGTTTTCTTCAATGGAAACATTATTTCCCTCCTTTTGATCATCCAAACCCAAAGCTTTTTCATTCCCTTCGTTTATCTTCCCATTACTTGCTGACTGATCTGATTCTGCCTTCCTTAATTGAACTGAATTCTCCTCCATTCTCTCACCAGCTACATTTCCGTTTTTTCTCAGCTCAGCGGACTTTATGGGTACTTCAGATCTTGGTTTCTTCATATGAATTGGGCTTCTCTCGATTCCATCAACAGACTTATTCTGCTCCCTCGTTCCTTCAGATCTTCCTTTCTTGACTTGAACAGGACTTTTCTTACTAATCCCATCAACAGACAAGCTCACGTCTTTGCAATGCTCCAGAGATCTTCCTTTAGCAACCTGATTTTGGATTTTGCCTTTGGAAATCTGAATTGGGTTCTTCTCTAACCCTTCAAAGCTTTCATTTTTCCAGTTCTTCCTCTTGCCCACACCGCCGCCAACGGTTTGACCTTTCTTCAAGCTCAACCTTTTACTACCAGTACCACCAGCATTGCCATTTTCTTCACCATTGAAAACCTTAATTCCACCTTTAACGTCATCATTCTTCATTCTAGTTTCCCAGACTGACCCTGCAACAACAGCACTGCTACTAGCTTCTCCTCTTCTAAAGCTCAAATCCACCCCCCCCCCTCTCTCTCCTATTTATCTAGCGTTGTTTTAGCCTTAATCACGGTAATTGAGTACTAGTGCGACATGGATGTCAATAATTGGATGACGGGAGTCTTTAAGATGAAGCAATGGAGGTTGGTGGGGTGCAACATTATCTTCCCCCTTTGTAATAGCATTGCAAAGGAAGCGGAATTGGTTTCTTTACATTATTTTTTGCTTTATCTCTCTCTCTCTCTGTCTCTGATTTGGTTTCTTTACTTTTCTATTTAATGAGGAGTTTGGCTGTTCATGGGAAGTCTGAGATAGTGGGGCAATATGATTAAGGGTTGTTGAAGGTCTTATTTTATTTTTCGATGTGAAAGGGATATCTGAGAGACTGAGAATTCAATGTATGCAACCAATTGAACTTAATTTTTATGCTCACAAAACCAGAGCTTTGTAGAGAATAAACAAGTGAAAATAAAGATTGTCCATGCTAGCAAATTTACGAGAAATCCTTACGGTCCGGGCGGTGAAGATTGTCACCGTTAGGCCATGTTTTGGTTTGATGAATTTTTTTGGTACACAAATGGTCCTATTACAATACACTACTTTATTGAGTCATAAATTATTAAAAAGTTACAAAATGATTGTTTAATTATAGGATGTTATTTTGTTGAGTCATTTGATTTTTAAAAGTTATAAAATGGCCACCAATTATTCATTACATTCCAAGCTAATCCTTTTTTATTAAAATTTTGACGACGTTCTGAGTTAGATGTTAACCTATTGATTGAGATATGATAAAATCTGATCTGAAAAATCTCAAAAGACTATAATATCTAAGTCCGCATATCAACGTCAAACTCACAAGACCGTTAATTTTTTAACAGAAAATGATGAGTTTAGAACACAATAAGTCGTCGAGTGATCATCTTATAATTTTAATAATTGAGAGATTCAATAAAACAATGTTCTATAGTCGGTAGACCATTTATATATAAATCTTATAAAATGATATTAGTTGTACTATTATTTTTATTATTATTTAGAGTTACATGAGGATGGAAAGTCTTCTTAAATTAAATGGGGGAGCAACTAAAATATAGAGTCAATTTCTTGGGATTCCGATTTGTAGATTTAGGCACTGTCCGGTTAATAATACTAGCAGTAATAATAATATAAGCAGCGATAAAGTAGACCCGACCCGATATTTTATTCTTTAATCTAAGATTCGCCGGGTCTACTGTACCGGATCCATAACCCAACTTTCGTAGGTATAAAATCTAGCACGTGTAGGATTGGGATACCGTTCCAATTATTGTTCCGTTGAAGGCACGTGACTCTCCAAATTAAGAATTAAGTATACCAAACTGCTGAGAGCACGTTAGTTTACGTAATTACATATGGGTAAAGTTCAAAGATGGTACTAAAGTATTTCAAAATATTTTTTTAGACACTAAATTTATAAAAATTATAAAATGAACATTAAACTTTAGATTATGTTATAAAACGAGCATAGTGGCATTATTACTTTTAATTTGGAAGATATGGCACTTTAAAATTAATAGATAATACCTCAATTGCCAATTGGCCCTCAATTATAACCAAAATTCTATAATAAAAACAAAATTTTAATGTTCATTTCAATACATCAAATGAATATTATCCATTAATTTGAATGTGTCACTTCATTTCGAATAAAGACGGTAATGAAATGATGTCCATTTTATAATTAAAACAAAAATTTAATACTTATTTTATAATTTTTGAAACTTTGGTACTTAAAAAGATTATTTTGAAATATTTTAGTGACTAATTTTAAACTTTACCCATTAAGTATTTAGAATTGATGGACATTGACCCGCCAGCGTCAACTATCACCAACTTCTTGGTATTGTAAAATTAATAAACTATCTCCTATTTATAACAATAAAGTCGGTTTAGTTAAGAACACCAATTAGGGATTACCATGGGTCGGGTTGGGTCGGGTTTTTGTTCCACTCGACCTGACCCGATCCGACCCGAATATATGAATTAGAAACTCGACTCGACCCAAAATAATAAAAAAATTATTTTTATTCAATAAAAACAGTGACTTAATTAGAAAAAATATATAGAGAGATATATTATTGTAATTATTTCTAAATATATAAGGTAAAATTATATATTTTTTGGGTCGGGTATTTTTCACCCTAAACTCGAACCCGACCCGAATATCACACTTAAAAAAAATCCGACCCGACCAAAATAAAGTTTCACCCGACCCGACCCCAATATATGAAATAGAAATCCGACCCGACCCGACCCGAAACAATAATAAAATTATTTTTATTTAATAAAAACAGAGACTTAATTGAAAAAAATTATATATAGAGGGGTATTATTGTAATTATTCTTAAATATATAAGGTAAAATTATATATATATTTTCGGGTCGGGTATTTTTCACCCTAAACCCGAACTCGACCCGACCCGAATATCACACTTAAAAAAACCGACACGACCAAAATAAAGTTTCACTCGACCCGATCCAAATATAAGAATTAGAAACCCGACCCGAAATAATAAAAAAATATTTTTATTCAATATATAAATAAGTTACCAAAAGATTGATGAGGCTAGTATGATCAAATTTCAATTCCCTCCAACAATGAAATTGAATTGCATCATAGAATGAATAGAATTCACTTTCCCTCAGTTGATGGAAAATTAAAGCCATGAGAGATTCCAATTCCCTTGGAAAACTTGAATCAAACATGAAAAAATGATAGAATTAGATTCTAATTCCCCCTAATTCCAAGGGATTCATGCCAACCAAACGCCACCTTAGTGCCCACATTTATCATTACTGAGCTATAACACGTCCCAAACTATCTTACCCTTAATTTGACATACAAATGCTTGCTGTATAGGTTGATCCAGCACTAGGATGTGAAAAAGTCTGGATCAAACTGAGTCAAAAGGGCGAAGATCAGTTCGGTTTTGCCAGAGTTTTCACGTTTACGGCGAGCGATCAACCTAGAGGACATGAACCATGGGATGGACTAAGTTCCGATATCATAAAAGAATTTGATTTCAAATCTTCAGACGAATGGATTTCGAACCAGGCTCAGCTGAATGGAAACACTGGAGAGCTTAGATTGACCAAATGATCTGAATATTATATTTGGTTAGATTGACCAAATCTGTCAGTACTTGGCCTAAAAACATCAATGGTTGGTTGCACCTGATAGTCGTTATGGCTGACATTTGAGCTTTAAGTTTGCCAACCAATTGCAAACCTAATCTTAGTTGCCACATTTAATGTATACGAGAGAGAAAGAAGAGAGATTATATTCTCCTCTATGGGGCTATTTGAACTGGGATCTATCCACAGTTTATCATTTAGTTGGATTTGGTGTAGCAGAAAAAAGAGCCCCTTGAGATCAAAGTAGATTTGTGGAATCTGCAACTAAAGTTGTTAGCCACGTGCCCAACTTTATGCAAAGAACCACTTCACGACTGTGTCATATGCTATTCCTAATCAGAATAAGATAGTACAGCAGTTGCAACTGCTCACATGTAATGAGTTTCTTTTTCTCTCAGACCTGAAGACAATTGCAATGCAACTTTGATGAAGGCTAGGTCAAAAGATGAAAAGATAAAGCGGTCTGTTATAAAGAGAAAAAGGAGCAAAACACTTTAGAATCTCAGAACTCTTGTTTAGCAATCAGTTTTCACTTATTTGAAACAGCAAGTAAACTCTGTACAACGCAAGAATCTAAATATCACCCTTTTAAGGCTTGTAATCTTTGCTAACCTATGATTTTGGTTTTAACTGTAAGTTCATCCTATATGTTACTAGAAAAAGAAAGAATAAAAAAGACTGCTACATTGATCAAACCAGGAGTTGAATCATATGACCGGCGGAGGTGGAGTTTCCCATACATCAAACACATTTTCCTCACTATGAAGTGCAAAGAGACGATCACCCCTGATCGAGAAATCGCAGATAGAGCCGCCGTAACTTCTTCGAAGCCTAGATGTTAGCACCCAATCAGGACCACAAAACACTGAGATGCAATCGTTCATAGATGAAAACAACTGCCCATTATGCAATGCCAATTTGGGGTAACAAGGCTCATCAGGCATCTTCCCCTTGAGCAACCTACTTCTGGAACTCCATCTCACACTTCCTCCATTGCTCCTTAAATCTATGAACCCCAGATCATCATACTCATTCACTACACAAATAGAATTGCATTTCTCCATTGCAATGGCATCTCTAACTCTCTTCTCATCAATGGTCAACGGAGCGCCGATATCGGACCAAGACCAAACCATTCTCTTTTCTCTAAAATCAAGTAAACTGATGTAACAGTTATCTTTTCTGGGAAACAATGTGGCAACCAATAAGCAGTTACTACCATTCAACCATTGAAGTTTATCAGCATCACCAAGAGACCAGCCATGGCTCTCATAAAAGAAATCCATTTGTTTACCAGTAACTTGGTCCCAAACTCCAATCCCATACTCATTGCTTCTCCCTTTACAGCCTGCAAAAATCTTATAATCTGGACTGAAACTCAAAGCCCCAGCAGTGAAACTCTTGATTTGATTATCATGAACAACGTTAAACCTGTGTCTCAAATCTCCAGTTGATGAACTGAACAACCCCATCCCACCATCTCCTTTCCCCAGCCTTTCGCAAGCACTTATCAATACATTCTCAGCGTTGACCCAGCCTATGTCGTTGACTCTTTGGTAATCCAGATTGATTGGCGGGTGTTCTTCTAACATCCAGTCAAAAACATGAACCATGCTACCATGAGCTACGCAGCAGCCGCCGTCCGGACCGGCTCGGACGGCAGTTCCATCTCCCGGGGCTTGCCCGGTTACTGACTTTGATAGCTTTAACTTGTTACCATCAAATGGACCCCATTTGGCGGAACGGACACGGTCAGTTAAGCCGTAAAACATGGCTTCTCGGTAAAGAAGCCTTTCGGAGACATTGGGGGGTATGCAGAGATCGCCTGTTCGGAGTAGGTCGAGGAGGACAGCGAAACAGTCGGCGTTTCGATCGATAAAGAATTCTTGGCGGCTGTTCGGTTGTTGTTGTTGTCGTAAGTACCAATTGTCATCAAATAATGCACCGAAAAAGGAATCCCTGCCTGCGTTTGCGAGTGTTGTAGCCGTCGTTTGAAAGATTCTGCCTCCTACGTTGAATTTGACTATGTCTTTTTGGATTCCCATGACTCGATTCTTTCTCAAAAATTAAAGAATCCTGGATTGAAAAACAGGGAAAATTTTGGAGTTTGGTCTCAAAATTTAGCGTTCGGCTAGAAAATATTGCAAGGCAGAGATAATTTAAGATGGACGAAAAGAGGAATCGAGGAGAGGTGTGAAACCACAAATAAAGATGGATGAAAAGCTCAGTTTATAAGCTACAAGAGGGATACCCTGGTTGAACAAGCAACAGGGGAAATGAACTAAATGAGTCAAATTTAATCAAATTGAAAAAACTGAGATCTGGGTATTGGAAAGACAAGGATTTCAAAACTGGGTTTAGGATTTCTTGGAATTTGGTGAAGTAGAATTGAAAGAACTGGAGCGTCGAAATTTCAGATAGACAAGACTCTTTAGTTTTTTTTCTTCTTCCACGAGTTGCTACATGTTCTCTCTCTTGTTTAGCTATTTTTCGAGTCTTCTGGTTCAAACATTATGCGTATTAAGTAGTAGTCCCAAACGGCCTCCAGTTTTTAGCTTTTACTTCCTCCCCATGTTTCCACCGTTGATTCCTCAAAATATCAATATAAAAAGAACTTCCATGAATCCAACGGTGGACATATCAGGATAACGATCTCCCATGGTTATTTCAGTTTTAGGGTTTCGGTCAATGAACTAAGCTTTATTCAAACAATCCTTAGCCAAAAAGAGAGCGTGGCCTGTGGGGTGTCTTAACTCTTTTTTGTTGTTTTTAACTTTATTTTTCCTTAAATTCTCTATATCTATTATCACTCTCCACCACCATTGTTTTTTTTTTCTTGACGAAAGCACCCTCTCTCTCTTCATTTATCAAAGTTAATAGGGTAAACGAATTGATATCACTTAAATAAAATTTATGTTCGAGTCTTTATATAGGTAAAAAATTAATTTTGAAAGATTAGCCTACCAAAATTAATAAGAGTACAACTCATATCGATCTAGATTAGTCAGGGTAATGTTTTGAAAACGGAGGATAAAAAAAAGCAGCCTCTCTGTTCTTGAGTTTGATGGCTTTGTTCGAGGTGTTCATGGACGGCAGATAGGGGTTGCTGCAATCACCAGGAATCAAATAGGTCGCATTCAATAATCTACGGCTTATTTGTTCTAAATCCATGCTTTCAAGGCACTCCCTTGAAAGTTGCAAGCTTTCTCCAAAGATTTATAAGATTCTTGTGACTGAAATTGTATCTCTCAGTGTGTTAGTTAAGCGTTCATGGCACATGTTCGAAATATTGATGAATATTCAGTTTCTTACTCCATAGTTCCATATTACGCAACCTTCCTGAGTGGCTGATGATTTTCTTGTTTTCTTTTGGGTTTTGGTTCTTATGCTTAATCATGGTGGAAATGACTCCATAACAAACAATGAAAGTAATTGCTTAAGAAGAGTTACAGAGCTTCTGTCAAAAGATGATCATTATTAAAGTAGAAGATGCTCAAAGAGTTTGGGGTTAAGTATAACCATTTAACTTTTGTCTATGTTATGTTTCATGATGCGTTTGGTTTTGCTTTTTTTTTTTTTTTTTGGAAAATACTGTCAACAAATAAAGCACTGCAAATCGTGTCATACCGTTATATTTTTTTAGCTGTTCCGGTGAAAGAAGGAAACCCAAATGTTTGAGTCAGTTTTGCTGCCCTGAAACATTCCTTAAATTCCCAGTTTTCTTTTTCAGTCAACTCTGTAGTGTTCTTCCAATTGGATCTCAGTTGGAGTTTTATTGCAGGAATGGAGCAATAATGATGATGGCGTAGGGGTCCAATTTGGTTGGTCACATGCAAAACTCAGTAATCCATTCAGTGAAGCGCACCTTTCAATAATGTGGCCTCTCTCGGATGAAAAATTATTAGACAATCTACACTCACTACGTCATTAATGCCTTTTATTTTTATCACGATTTTTTAATTTTATCAAATTAATTATTTAATTATATTCAATCAGACCACTTACTATTAATTTTTAACGGAAATATTAACGCGACCGTTAATAAAATCAGTATTAAAATTAGATAAATAAAAGAAAAAAACATACTATTTATGCTTTTTGAGTCTTGGTTGAATTATCTGACTATAAAGAATGAAGAGGCGTCAGTGATGACGAGGATGAACATTATCCCAACATTTTGATCTTGCAATTTTATATTAAAGAGGACGAATTTAAATTTATAAAATTTTAGGAGTTAAAACGAATTTTTTAATAAAAATATACAGATAAAATCTAAAATATATACAAATTTTATAAAAAAAATATTTATAAAATTAGTTTTTACACCATTTTAATTCTTGTGGTACATTTTATTTTTATCAAGATAAACTTCCAATATTAGATTAAAAATATTTGCATGAAATTTTATATAAAAAAATTTTTACACTCTTTTAATTTTATAAAAATATTTAAAATATCGTCTATATAATTAGTATGCTAAATTATGTTAAAATACAACCATATTTTCACAACAAAAAGTGACACCAAAATATATAGAGAAAATCGCCTCAGTGACCAAAAAAAAGTTATAATATACGATTTTAACCAATTTTTTTTGGATTTGCCAAAATGACCAACAAAATCGCAACGCGAAATAAAAATCGCAACGCGATCCCCAGAATCGCAAATCAGTTTCCAAAATCGCAACGCGATTCTTGAAAATCGCAATGCGATAGTACAAATTCGCATTGCGATTTTCCAAAATCGCAACGCGAATATGAAAATCGCAACGCGAACACATAAATCGCAACGCGTATCCGTAAATCGCAACGCGTATCCGTAAATCGCAACGCGTATGGGTAAATCGCAATGCGTATCCGTATATCGCAACGCGTATCCGTAAATCGCAACGAGAATCTGTAAATCGCAACGATAATCCGTAAATCGCAACGAGAATCTGTAAATCGCAACGATAATCCGTAAATCGCAACGAGAATCTGTAAATCACAACACTGAAATTTTGGGTATATAACACTGAAATCATAAACTAAATCCCTAAATCGCAACTCATTCCATCTCCATCTATCACTCTCTCCGGCGACATCCGTTCCTATATCCAACGACATCCTTCCCAATCCGGCAACAGGTTTTAGTTTCGCAGCTCGTCTGTTTAGTAAATTAATTTACAACCATGAAATCATCTAATGTTGATCATGTTTGGATAGATTTGTGTTTTGGAGGGTCATGGGATAATGTTCATGGTGTTTTACAATATATGCCTTTACCCATGAATCTTCAACTAAAATTGTCTTTACAAAGTTAACTTATGAAACTCTAATGCTACGTGTTTCAAATAAATTGAATTTAGAGCCCCTAAGTGGATTTAGGCTATCTTATCAGAGAAATGGTAAAGTTTATTTGTTAACCGACAATGAAGATGTTGAACGATTCATTGCTTACATTAGTGTTTCACAAGATGATGTTACATTGTATGTTGTTGAACCTAGAAGTAGTATTGTTGGGTCAGTAGCGGGTAGTAATCAACTAAGTTTTTCTCAAACCCACAACCTTTCTCTAATCCAAATCCCAATCAACTTTCAGCACCAAATTCCGGTTTTCGTATTGACCAGTTAGACGATGATGAGCCAACAGAAAAAATTGTGAGTACTAGTCAGTATTCAAAATTTGGTCTTGGTCAATATCCGGACTTTGATATTGGTCAATACACGGATTTTGATGATGTTTCAGAAGAAGAAACAGACCATGTGTGTAATGATTTTCATATTGGTCAATACCCGAATTTTGATGATGAAACACCCGTTGCCGAGGAAGATGTTGTTGATGATAATGAGGAGGAAGTTACGACTGTGAATGAACATGTTGAACATCCATTCTGTAATTCATATAATCCTGAAGAAGAAAAGAAGAAGAAAAAGTCCCCGAAGAAAGAAAATGCCACGGGAGTATAACTGGAATATGCCAGAATTACTTCAGTTACCGGAAGAAGAGTTGGCAAAGAAAGCAGTTGATTGTTACACAAAAGTTATTCGTGTCAAGAAAGATGATTGTTTTGATACAAAGGAAGACTTGAAGATAGCTTTGTATACGAAATGTGTGGAAGATGGCTATCAACTAAAAGTTAACAAATCAAGCAAAGATCGTTTCGAAACAAGGTGTATGATTGACAAAAACTGTACGTGGCGTATGATTGCAAAGAGAATAAAAGATTGCAAAATGTTTCAAGTTAGGACTTTTATTGATAAACATACATGTTCAAGAACCCAAGTTTTTCCTCACCATAGACAGGCAAACAAAAAGGTGTTGGGTGGTTTTCTGGCTGAGTTAATGTTTTTGAATGGCAGGGTATATCGGGGACATGAAATTATGACTGACATGAATGCTCGGTTCAAGATTAGTATATCATATTCTCAAGCTTGGAGAGCCAAATGTTATGCCTTGGAATTGTTGAGGGGGTCGCCAGAAGCATCGTTTGCCCAACTGCCGGCTTATTGTCACAATTTAAAGCTGAAAAATCCTGGGTCGGTAACTCATATCAAAACAGATAGAGATGGACGCTTTGAGTTGCTGTTTATCGCCATTGGTGCTACGGTTAGTAAATCAATATAATTTTGTTGACTCATTTTGTTAGTTACATGCATTTCACATTTAAATGATTATATTTCTTGTGTATATTATTTTGTAGATTCGTTCGTTTATTACTTGCATGCGCCCAGTTATTATAGTTGACGGAGCACATTTGAAAGGTCGATACCTTGGAGTAAACTTATTAGCAGTAGCCATGGATGCTAACAATGGGATATTGCCAATAGCTTACGGGGTTGGCAAATCTGAAACCTCTGATTCATGGACATGGTTTATGGGGCATCTTAGGGATTGCATAGGTCCTATTAGCAATCTGACAATCATATCCGATAGGGCAAACTCAATTGACAACGCTGTTAGAAGGTGTTTCCCAGATGCTTTTCATGGACTTTGTGGTGTTCATTTGTATAGAAATCTAAAATCAAGGTCTGCTGGTATAAAAAAGCACAAATGGACATACTGGAAGGCTGTAAAGCTTATCGGGAAGTGGATTTCAATAAGCATATAAATTGTTTAAGACGTGTTTTGCCTCAGTGTGCTCAACACTAGAAGATGTCGGGTTTGAAAGATGGTCAAGAGTACATCAACTTGGAGCAAGATATGGTTTCATGACGTCTAATAGTGCAGAATCAATCAACGCTCTAAGTCGTCATTCCCGGAAATTACCCATTACTATGTTAATGGAGTTTTTTCGAGCCTCTATTCAACAGTGGTACTACAAGAAAAGAAACCATGCAGGTATTATTTCTTTGAATTCGTAACTTATCATATTTATATATTTTACTAAGTATTGTTTATTTAAATTTACAGGAACATTGGAACATCGTGTTACACCATGGACTGAAAAAAAGATAACGAAACGTGTTGTGAAGTCAACGTCATGGAGAGTTGAACCATGTTCAAACACTTTGTTTCAAGTACTGGATAATAACTTAAATGGGCTAGTCGATCTAAATGCAAAGACGTGTAGTTGTATGAAATGGCAAACATCTGGTTATCCGTGTGGCCATGTTATAAAAGTTGCTCTTCATTTAAACCAAGATGATTCAAGCGCATACGCTATGGATTGCTACACTACAGAAGTTTATCGACAGACTTATGCCGAGATTGTCTACCCTATTCCACATCCTTCTGAGTGGGACATACCAGATGACTTACAAACAGTTTTGCCACCAGCCATGGACAGAAGGCTACCTGGCCGACCAAAAAGTCACGATCGTATACCGTCTAAGGGTGAAGAGAAGAAGAGATCGACATGTAGTCGGTGCAAGGAAAGTGGTCATACAAGGTTGACATGTGGATCACCAGTGCCATCAAAATCATCTTTTCCTCTACCAAAATATGGATCCTCATCAAAATCCAAAGCTCATATGGTGTCAAGCAAAAGGCAACCATCTTTAAAATCCCAATCACAATTGGCTTCACCTTTTGGGACTGTTAACTTAGGTGATTTTTAAATGCAAACGTTGTATTATGTGGATTTTATGTGTGAACTTTTAACATTTTCAGTTGAATTAATGACTCAGGCCAACCATTTTGACTTAACCAACTCTTGTTATTCAGTTGTTATCACTATTAGGCATGCATTTGACTATCGCAACACGGAAATTACAATCGCAACGAGAGAATCGCAATGCGAAATGAAAATCGCATTGCGATTCTCTCGTTGCGATTTTCATTTCCGCATTGCGATTTTCATTTCGCATTGCGATTCTCTCGTTGCGATTTTCATTTCGCATTGCGATTTTCATTTCGCATTGCGATAGTCAATTTTGCCTTCAACATAATGCAGATTGAAATCAACAAAATCAACCATTACATTTCAATCAATTAAACAAGCACAAATAAGAATTATATTCGCATCAATTACACAAATCAACTTTTACAAATCATCTTTTACAAATCAATTAAACAATCAAAAAATAAGCAATAATTCTTATTTCCGATCATCTACTATTGAATCAACTTTTACAAATCAATTAAACAATCAAAAAACAATCAATTAAACTATTGAATCAACTTTTGCAGCTCGACATCATTTTCACGCAGTTCACTTCTGAGATTAACCTGCAGAAACCAAACATTTGTTCAAACAGCAAATTATTGAATTCTAGGTACTTAACCAAACATTTTCAAACCAAAAGTATATAAACTTACCAATTGTTTATGGACATTTTTATAACGCGGATGCAGGTAGGCAGCGTCTCGTATATATCGATTTAGCCATATAATGCCGAAACCACAAGCCTTCTGCAGCTTTATCTCTATCGGTGGGAGGTAGATACTTGATGCTTCCCGTCGTCAAACGCTCCAACGCCAAGCATACGAGAGGACCACAATCTCCTCTGGCTCCGCTCGTTTGTTGTGGCGCGGTCTCGTCTCTAATAACTGTAATATTGAGCTTCTTTGGCTTCTTGTTTCCAGAACGAGTCCAATAATTGATCGCATCCAAGAATTTAGCCAAATGAGAGCTCCATCCCTTAATAACATCTCTTAAATCAGCCAATGATATGTATTTATCATGCTGTCATACACTATTGTCTTAAGGGATGGGAGCTGAAGCTCGACGAGAATCCAATGTTTACGTTCCAAAACAGGGATAAACACCTGCAATCATAAGTAATAATTCATTCATTTGCGCACTTATTTCATAAAACCTTTAAACTCAATCTAAAATAAATACTAACCTTATCGACCTCCCACCATGCAGGATAAAGTTTAGCTTGTCCATTGCCCAAATCAAATGATTCATCTCGTGCATTCTTCAAGTGAACGGCGTGAAAAGACGTCGGCATAATTGTATATCGTATTTTTATTTTTCTTAAGTTTTCTTATTATTAGAAGACGTGTCACCCACGCATCGATATGCTGTTTTACAAAAAAAGACATATATTAGTGACTTACATAAATTTAAAAAAAATTAATCAAATTGAAATATAAGAAAAATATAAGACTTACCCCCCCATCGAAATAGCCATTGCCTTCGACCCCTAATAATACGCCCCACCAAGGCCGTTCAAGCAACAAATAGATATCATCGGTGAGCTTGCATATGTCAGTGAAACACCCCTTGCTCCGCTCATGTAGATAAAAATCAACTGCGGTCTTAGCCCAAAGGGTGTTATCCAAAATTGTGTCCGGTAGTTGTTCCCTCTCCTCTTCAGATACCGGTATGGT